AGCCATAGGATTCAATGAGATCACCAAGGAAGTAAATTTAGAGAAGAGGGCACACTAAAATGAAGAGATCAGGGAGAAAAGGAAGAACCAGCGAGGGGAAGATAGGATGGAAACCACAAGAGTGTAGTGCCCTGATAGCTAACGGAAGAATGTGTGAAGCAGGGACTTAGGTGAATTGCCTAACTTCACTTTCTGCGTCAGCTAAATGGGAATATTAATTCTTCATGTGAGGTTACAGTGAGAATTACAAATAAGTTAACCCATTTAATAAATACATACTAAGTGTAGTCATTTTACTAGGTACTTGAATTTGAGTTGCATATAATTCTTTACCTCAAGTAGGAGGTTACAAATTTGCAGAACACCTAGCCCAGTGCCTGACCCCACAAGGGGCCCAATAGATACTCTTTCTCTAGAATTACAATTGCTTCTGCGTGGCCTATGTGGATGCACACTCTCCTCTGCTTCTTGAGACCAATTAAAATATTTAGTGCTCATTAGTTGGAATAGATAAGCAGGGGAATCTTTCCTTTCCCCACCACTCCAACCATTTCAGTCTAATGCTCTGTTGCTCCATAGAATGTGTGGATTTCTTCCTTGGTTAGGGAATATGAAGGGTCCACTTGGGGACTTAGTAACAAGGCTTCCCTGGGCTAATCTGAGAGCATTCAGGGCCTGAGGCCACCCTGGGGAAGCCAGCAGCCCAACCACACCACTTACACAACTCAGTCCCAGCTCTCCCAGAGTTGAGGTGAAATAAGGCAAAGGGCAGTTTCCAGAAGGGGAAAGAAATCAAAGAAGGCAGGCAGCCTCAAGTATGCGGCCTGGAGGCCAGGCCCACTGCTTTCTCTGTGGCCCATGGACAGAGAGATTTTAGAGCACACATTGCATATGTGTTCCCAGCGTGCGCACATGGGTTTATATAAGTAGGTAAGACTTACTGTCTTATTTTCCCACAAGCCAAGCAGACACCTCCTTCACCTGGTTCACTTCAAGTCTTCCAGCTGCCCAGCGCTTGGAACAGTGCCTCCTCCTCCCTTCCCCACTTTTTCTCCAATCCCCCAGTCCACAGGCTAGATCTCACACCAGCTCCAGGAGCCAGGTAACTAAGGTAACCAAAAGCCCTGGAGCCCAGGGGGCCTCCCTAAGGACCGCCCAAAGGCCACAGGCTCCATGCAGTCTGTGGAGCCGCTCTCCCTGCTGTGCTCTCTCTCCCTGGCCATTGCCCTGCCCATCTGGGGCACTGCTGAGGGAGGCTCCTTGGGGCCTACTGTTTTCTTCATGACTATGGGTGACATTGCACAGGCAGTCCAGTTTTTCTCACAGTGTCTTTGCTTTGATCTTCAGAAATCTGCTGAGTTTCTTTTGGGCCTTGTCATGTTAACAAAAACAAATGTAATAATATGCACTTGAAAAGGCTCGCATGTCTTGATATTTTAATAAGCTTTTGATTCTACAGGGACCTCTGAGGCTTTAAAAGTTTAAAGTTAATAAAGAGAGTAAAAGAAAAAAATATGAATTGTTTTTAATTATTATTATGCAGGATTAACCAAGCCAGTGGTGTATAATTAGACAGTAGCTACCTTGCAACATAGAGGCAGTAAATAGGCCCATGGCGGGGGGGTTGGCTGCCAGAAGGCTGAGGTGTTTACAAGGCACTGGAGATGTTTTCACCAAGCACATAATCCCCGTTGCAGTTACTGTTGCTTTTATAATGGATGTGTTCATTACAACCAGAGACTAATATGTGTATCCATCATCTTTCTAGCACAGATGACTCCGAAGTGGGGGATGGCAGTGGAGATTGTACCATACATTTTGGTGGTCAAATTATTAAGAGAGCCCATTTATATGCAGCTTTTTTTTGTGTCTGTATGGTTTTATTTTTGTTGCCATTGCTGGGAGGAATTTTAAGATGAAGCTAAATAAACAATTGCCAAAGGAGTGATGTTTAAGATATTGCTAAGAAAGTTTTGTTTCTTTTAATACCTCCAGCAGTGAAAGCAATGAGCCAGGAGTTCTAGGGCTTTGTTATGAACCAGCCTGTCATCCCAGGGAATTCATTCATTAATTCAACCTTTATTGAGTGCTGCCATATGCCAGGCATTGTCGTAGATTCTGGGGACAAAATGATGTGCAAGAAAGACTGGGCGCTTCTTCCCAGATGTTCTCAAACCAGGACATTCCTCATGATCACGTGGGAAGCTTTTCAAACTGCTCTCACTGAGACCCCAACCCAGCCTTAGTAGAGCTGCATTGCATCTTCAGGGTACCCACTTGAGCATGTGAATTTTGAGAAAGTGTTTCAGTGATTCTGGTGGTTTCTCACTGGAGTGGGAGAGAGTTATAATTAAACAATAAAATGTGATAAGTGCTATGAAAGGGAAGATGTGACTGCACTGAGCTTCCATTTCTCCACTTTTGTAAAGGGGGTAATAATTCCTGTCCTATATATCCATCTTAGGTCACAGATTCTGAAAAAGGAGAGTATAGAAAATTTACTAGGGAGTGCTCTCAGATAAGACATTGTTGGGGGTGAAATGGGCCAGTCATTGGCTGCCCCCAGGAGAAGATGTGACTTGGGTAAGTAGCCGTTACCAACCTTAGGCCCATTCCTGGAGAGTGGGTCAGATGATAGCTGCAGGTCACCGCCTCCACCCAACTTTCAGAAGCTGGGAATGAGGACGGAAATGAGGGCCTCCGTCCTGAAGGAGGAGGGTGCGGGTGGCGTGTCGCAGCGCTACCAGGGCATCCTGCAGAAACAGATAGAAGAATTCACATTGAGAAGTACTGTTAAAGATTAGTTACTCATTTTCTATTATTAACCTATAAATAAATTTGCTCATGACAATGGTTTTTGCATAAATGGCTTTATTCATATTTGATGTAAGAATAATCTGGCTACAACATCTGTCACTCCATGCTTACCAGTATTGATTGGGCTCAGCTTGCTGGCTGGGCTAGAATCCTATTTTTGCCCCAAAACTCCTTGTATGTCACCTCCCAAACCTGCACACTTGAGCTGAGAGGGCACATTTCCAGGGAGAGAATTTCTGATTTTTGATAAGAGACATAGGGAGGCCACCACTTCTACTACACACTTGAAACAAGTTGGCAGGTTCCGCTTGGCATCGAACTGCAACTACTAAGAATGTGGTCATTCTTTTATTTACATTTGCTCAGTGTTTTTTTGACTATCCTACGCAAGGTTGAGTTGCAGGAGCTGTGCCATCTCTTCCTCCTCTAAACTCTGTGGAGTAGGGAAGAAATAGGTGGATTTTACACAGTGGCAAAAGGGGTGCAAGTGAGAAGATGCTACCTGGGTGAAGGAAAACATAATTGAAAATGGGTAAAACATTGGGGTCCTCCTCCATTGTCTTGGCTGTATACAGATTACACTTCATCCTCAAATCATGTTTATCCACGTTCCTGATTTTGTTAAACAATCGAGATGGGAAGCACCAATTAGGTTTTTCATTTTACATTTATGTAAAGAGCCGTCTCTCATCAAGCTGCTCCATCTCTCGGCATGTTCAAGAATAGTTTAAACAACAAGAAATGCTCCATACAGCTTCACTGGAGCCTGTAACTTTCTGTTCTGGGAATTGAAAGCAGCAAACCAGTTTTTAGGAGGATAGTAGGCTAAAACACAAATAGTTAGAGCCAGAGGTCAATAGTTGGAACTCAAGAATGCTGGTAATGAGCCCGGATGGCAGGTTGGAATTGGGTTTTCAATATAATCACCTGACAAACATGAATTTTAGGACTTTGAGCTTCAACCACAGGCCATGGTATTAGACAGACATGTGAATAGGTATACGTCTAACTACTATTTGTATATTTCTATAATATTCTTCCCTGTGGGGCCATCAGGATGATCTACCAGGCCTGGGAATCGAACTACTTTTGGAACCTGAAAAGGGGCTTATGGCAGCTACCAGGATTTGGGAAGTAGGAAGAATGAATAATGACAAAACAGTTTAAGAAAAGATAAAAGAAGTACTTTGGACCAGAATTGGCTGGAAGGAATGTTAATGGCCTACCTTCATGGTGTTGTACAGAAAATGAATACTGAGAAGCCACAGAGAGCTCATCCCCCTGATATAACTGTGAGGCATAATAGGAGGAATTTATAAAGAAAAACTTGGGACAGGCATTAGGGAACAGACAGAACTTCCATATTCCCAGAAGAAGGTGAGCACATTGAAGGCATTTAAAAACTGAGGTTGAATTAAACTCTAGGAAATATTTTCTATTGTCGGCAACAATTCTATGCCAGCCCAGTGGGACAGAGTACATCATCTAACAAGACATTTTCATTTCTAATTTCTTTAACTCCACGGAAAAATCCTTCCTGAATTCTCCACAACTCTCTGTGGTGTTTACTAAGTGAAATAACTTAGTGCCCTCCACAGCCTTCACTAACTTAGTATCCACTCGCTCTTCCAAATCAATAATAAACACATTAAATACCACTGGTCCCCAAACAGACCCCAAATGCACCACACTATTAACCTCTCTCCACTCCAGGAGACCAACAGTCACTCTGTCTCCCGCGGCTCGGCTGGCTTTATAAAAATCTCCAGCCTTTGACTGCTCCTGCCCAGCTGAAAGAAGAGTCTAACTCCGCTTCTGCTCTTTCCTGGTCAGCGCTGCAGGGCTCTCTGGAGGGGGCCTGCACCCCTGGGGCAGCGGCTGCAGGTAACACCAGTCCATCTGATGGGAGGCCTAAGAGTTTCAGCAAAGAAGGAAAGCAAGGTGGAAAGAAGTTTATTGTTCTTGCTGAAAACCCAATTGCACTGCCATTTTTCAATTCCATTGAGAAATGTCAATGTTCTTTCCCACCGTCTGTCGGAGGCAGATTTGACCAGGTGTCTCCACACAGAGTGGGTTCTCACAGTTGGGCTGCGTGTGTGTCATAAAGCTAAATAAGGAGCCAGTTCAGTCCGCCACCCCCCTTTGCTTCTGCCGGCCAGACACACTTCCCCATATGACAGTCTTATAAATAGCTGCTAAGCAGCTGGTCCTCCTCTCACCTCCTGACTCTGTCAGAATCCCCCACCAGAAGCCCCTGACAGTCATGCAGCTGGGAGCTCCCCCTTTCTCTTCTTTTCTCCTCTCCACTCTCTACCTCTGACATGTGGCCGCCATCTCAACAATGTCCACTGAAACCACCCAAGGACTGACTTCCATGGGAGAAGGGGTCAAGCAGGCTGAGAGCTGGATCTGACCACTGAAGCAAGCTGTCACCCAAGTAAACGGCGATGGAAGGTTGGGAGACACCGCAGTGATACACCAGGCAGCCCACAGTACAGTGGCCAGATGGCTGACCCAGCAAAAATCCCGGGAATCTTTCTGGAGTGAGTCAAACATTATAAATATCTGTGGGACTCCGCGATGCTTCTATCTATATATGTACATATTCAAAAATAGTTTTAGACAAATAAATATAGTATAAAATGTATTATTATTAACATTTACAAAGTTCCAACAATGTGTTCAGAGTTCAAATGAGGGTAAGATTTAGGATAAAGAAAATACAAGAACGGATTAAAGATTTGGAAGCCAACACGTGATAAGGAGGTAATAAAACAGAGATGATGCTTTCTTTCTAAATATTGTTGCTTTTTATGAAAAAGGAGGCTCCAGCTGACAGGGGATTAGAGCTGATCAGAGATAGTCGAGTCAATTTCACAGGAACTTATTGAGTGCCTGCTATGTGCTAGGCAGAGGGAATGTAGAGTTATCCCCAGCCTTGATCAGCCAGACAAATAGAAGGCCAGTAGATGTTGTAGAAGGTGGAAAAGTCAGTTTTGCTTTTGGGGTAGAGAGTCATGGAAGTCTACAGAGAGGACACAGGACAATGTAGGCCGTAGGAATAGCAGGAGGTCAGGCAGGAAGATATCAAGTTCCCACAGATCTAGGAAACAGTGAATGGGTCCACTGCGGCATAGCAGGCATAGTGTGGGAGGCAGGGGCCTGCTCAAGGGTGCTGGAGGGGCATGCAGCTGGGGGAAGAGGGCTTAGACATGAGAAAATGAAGCCACTGAACAAAGTGTGCAGTAACCACAAGCTAATGCTAAAATTTCCGATATTGATTGTCATCTGAAGAACTTACCGGCTTCCTGGGTCTCCTTAAGCAGGCTAATCTGAACGTTTATTTTTATTTTATTTTATTTCTTTATTTACTGAGACAGAGTCTCACTCTGTCACCCAGGCTGGAGTGCAGTGGTGCTATCTCGGCTTACTGCAACCTCTGCCTCCCGGGTTCAAGTGATTCTTGCTCCTCAGCCTTCCAAGTAGCTGAGACTGCAGGCACCTGCCACCAGGCCTGGCTAATTTTTGTATTTTTAGTAGAAATGGAGCTTCACCATGTTAGCCAGGCTGGTCTCGAACTCTTGGCCTCAAGGGATCCACCCACCTCAGCCTCCCAAAGTGTTGGAATTACAGGTGTGAATGTTTAAATAGATCATAGTTTAAATCTTCTATCGAAGAGTCATCCTTGAACCATGGACCCCCTCAAGCATTTCCCAATGTGCCCACACATTTCACAGGAAATGTATAGTTGTGGCTGCCACTTAGGCACCCTTTACAAAGTGTTCCAAAGTTCTGCCTTGGTAGTGCTGGACCAGAACCCCCACCTGAGTTAATACCACCACCTGGCTATTTCACAGGCAGGGCTGAAGCCAGGGGGCAGGGAGGACACAGACCAGTAGAGACAGGGAGTAGTTTCCTTTGGGCAAAGATCAGGGCTTGAGTCCTCAGGCAGGGGAGGGGCAGCTTCGGTCCTTGAGGATTTAGTGGGGCCCAGCAGGGACTAGGGAGACAGGGATGGACAGAAGCTGAGTATGCTTTCTTCTGAGGTCAGCCAAGTTGTCACACTCTCAGGGACACCTTTCCTGGCCCTTTATTATATATTCTCATAGCACTGTGAACCTTTTCTGCACACCACCATTGTCATTGTATGGTTATTAATTGACATCTGTTCTCTTCTCCTAGAGCACAATGGCTTTGCTCTCTGTTGAATCCCCTGTTTCCAGCACCCTGCCGGGCACACACTAGACACTCAGGAAATAACTGTTTCTTGAAGGATTATAAGAGCTAATATTTATTGAGAATTTTGTATTCTACCATTTAATCCTCAACAACCACTTGTGAAATAAATAATATTAATTAATCTCATTTTACAGATGAGTAAGTGGAGACTCAAAGGATTAAGTGACTTGCCAAATGCTAATGAGTGGTGGAGTGGGGCTTGAACTCTGGTAATCTGACTCTTGAGTCTGGGAGAGGCCATGTGGCAGGTCTGGTGGCAGAAGAGGAACCAGAGTGGCCCAGAACAAGGGAGGCAGAGAAAGTGGTGGCTCTGGGGGCAGGGATGTGGGGAGATCCTTTCTCCCATTTAGGCTTACGGAACCCAGATTTCTGGCATCGCCATGAGATCGCCTCCACTTCAGCTGTTCAGGGAGTATTTTAGCGGGTGAATGAGGCTGGACATCCTTAACAGATGCTGCCCACCCACTTGGACTGATCTTCCAGCCACTCACTGCTGAGCTGAAGCTATTGAAAGTTTCCTCAGGCATCCCCTCCACAGCAGGGCCTTCCAGCAACCCTGCAGTCTTCCTGGCCACTGCCTTGACCTAGGCCCTGTTCTCAGGAGCTTCTCCATAACAGGCAAGAGGCCAGGTGCTGGGAGTTTAAGGTAACCTAGTTCCTAGGAAATCAAGGTGATGAGAGTAACTAAGGCTGTCTCCACACACTTAAGTTGGAAGTGTCCCAAAACCCTTCAGGGCCTTGGGGATTCAAATGGTCCTCAGCAAGTCTGATTCTTTCTCCATAGCAAAGCTATTCTGTTACTCTTAAGTCTTAATTTGACGCCAGATGGACAGTCATTTGTAATGTTCCGAAAATGGTGCTGGCTCCCTCAGTGTGGCTTTCTAAAATGAACTGAACTTCAGCCTGTGCTAAGCACTCTACATGCACTCATTTCATCCTCACGGTTTTACAGACAAATCAACCAAGGCTCAGAGGGGTGAGGGTGCTTACTCGATGACAGGGAGTGAATGGCGAAGCTGGAATGACAGCCCAGGTCTTTCTTAATATAGAGTCAAAGATCCTGGCAACCAGGCTATCCCGGGGTAATGGGCCATTATGGCTGCCAGGATACTGTATGCATAATTTTTGTACTTTTGGCATTGATAATAAGATTTTTGAACAGTCAAAGCTATCACCTGAAATATCGTGAGGTATTAATTTGAAGATTTCTTTCTTAATTGACAATTTGATTGTTTAATGGCCTTACTATTTTTTTTAGAAAATGAGACTCAGACGGCAAATCCCATCTTGGTCTGCAACACTAATTCTAGGAGACCTCATCGTTACTTCTTAGAGCAAAATGCAAGGGCAAAAATGGGAAGTAACACTGTCTGAATGGTATCATTTGGGATTTTTTTTTTTTTTTTTTTTTTTTTGGTGCTTATAACTGAGCAACAGCTTTTGTCTAAAAAATTAAATGTGACAAGAAATTAATCCACATTGTGATCTAATTATATTTAGAATTATGAGAAAAATGTAATATGTCTCAAGTATTTAATTTTGAAAAGTGTCTATGGAAATTAACTTTCACTACCTTTCATAAGGATTTTAGTTGTCTTGCCATCCTTAAATGGCATTTTCAACAATCACCAATATTGCTATTGCTGTCACATAAGGTCACTAGCCTGTGAGGTAGTTTTTGCAAAGCCTGACTTTAAAGAACATGTGACATGTCATGGTCTATACTACTCTAAAGTGTATATCAAATTTATGAATTAGAATACAAAGAACCAACCAGTTTCTTAATTTCCTTTACATCTCTGAAGAATCAGCTGTTAAGCAGGAAGGAACACCAAACACAGTGAGGTTTCTCGTGATACATTAAAACCAAATATCACTCTGACCCTTGAAAATGAGATTAGAATAAGACCAGAAATAATGGAAAAGTGGTTAACGGTAGTGGAATTAGTTAACTGAATGAAAAATATTTGAATGGGGAAAAATGAGTTCACAACTGTGACATTTTTACAATAAAAGCTTTGACTATACTAAGGTCCACCCACCAGTACCCCATGTTCAGGCTATAGTGACTTGAATTTTGAGTATTGAAGTTGATGTTCTGGGAAAAGGCATTGGATCTAAAAGGCACTGATCAAACTCAGGAATATCATCCGGAAAGGAACCTGCTTAAGTCTTCTACTCTTAGGAAAGGAAGGGATATTTATTATGGAGAGAGCAAGTTGTAAGTGAACTGCAAACTTGGCACCAAAAGTAGCAGATATTCTGCTGTGGGGTAAGAATGAGGGGAAAGTAAAGGGGAAGGAAGAAAGCATGTGGCCTTAGCAAGAGGGGGTGCCACCGTGAGTTGCCAGTGGAAAGCTTTGGATTCCCAGTGCTGTGAAAGGCAAGGAAGGAGCTCCAGAAATGGAGGTGGGGAAAGCCAGGAGATGCTCAGTTTTCTTTACCTGGCAATTCTGTGGACCCCCATCACTCTAGATCCTAAGTTCAATGGGAGCACATGGCTATTTGTAATTCTAAAACATCCATTCTCCTGAACAACACCCTTAAGCCCTAGGGAAACACTTGTTCACATGCCTTGCCTTAAGTCCTCAAAACAAATGGTGATCACATCTAAATGGCATGAAACTGTGTGGGGTGTCAACTGCTAAGGTGGGAGATGGAAGGGATGGACTCTGCCTCATAATACAGGGAGGATTTCATCAGCAGAAGTGCTTAGGTAAGAGCAAGGACAAATTAATTAACTTGTCATATTCTTCCTCTCACAAAGCATGAATGCTATGGATTCTTGCATAACAAAGCACCATTTCCCTGTGGTGCCAAATGTCCATTTACTTGCTTCTCTTCTTTCTCCAATTGGAGATCCCAAAGGTACACAACATATTAACATGATAGTCACAACAGTTACGCATAGCTGCTAATGGAAATCACTCTGAAGTGTGTATCTATACATAGGTCTGTATGCAACACGAGTGAAGCATGATACTGATTCTCTAACAGACAGCTAGACCTTTGCAGCTAGAGCTGCAGGGTTTTTAAAAATAAAAATGTACATAGTTACAAAATGAAATATCTGGCCTTTATTTGAATGTTATTTATTTTAAAATTTGATATTTATTAATTATAACTTATATTTTGCCTTTTAAGGTATCATTTTGAACATTTCAACAGAAAATTGTTCTCATTGTGATAAAAAACACA